TATGCACAATCAGCTTGTAACACTCCAAAGAGAAAGGAAAACTTGAAATCGCATCATATGACCCCTTTAAATCTCATATCTTGCAGACATACTGTATACCTGTCACCGTTCATCTACATGAATAATGTAAACAGTAATAACTCTGCCTAACGGTGTTTGTTAAAAGGACTGTGATGTGTTTGTCCCCAGCCCTTGATGGTGGACACCCTGCCTTACCCGTTCAATGAGGAGATCAGAGGAATCGCATCAGTGTCTGGTGTTTCTTTGGGTATGAATGCATTAAAACAATACTATTATGTTTAACACTGTTAAATAAAATCTATATTTAAATCACCTGTTCTCTGTGACTCAGGTGAGGTGCTCTTCAACATATTTTATGAGGTGTTCACCGTGTGCACATCTCTGGTTGCAGAGGATGTCAATGGTGAGGATATCATCAGAGATAACATTATTTTCATTTTTTTTATAATATTTTATAATCTATATCTATGTTCTAAAATATCAGATACCCATTAAATGACATACAGTACCAGTTTAGGGTCAGTAAGATTTTTTTTTTTTTTTTTTTTTTTAGAAATCAATACTTTTATTTTCTAAGATACATTAAATTGATCATGTGACAGTAAAACTTTTATAATGCTACAAAATATTTCTATTTCAAAAAATTTTTTTAACCTTCTATTAATCAAAGACTCTTGAAAAAAAAATTAATTACTGTTATAACAAAATAATAATATGAAATGGTTCTTGAGCACTTGATTTCACACGTAATGACACTGAAGACTGGAGTAATGGCTGCTGAAAATTCAGCTTTAGCGTCACGGGAATACTTTATATTTTAAATATATATTCAAACTGAGTGGTGCTGGTATGATTTCAGAACCCGGAAGAATAATTGGCCACTGGCTCCTTAGAGATTTTCCTATGGGTTTTTATAATGGGGTTTTTCGATTTATGAGTGAAATAAAGCCTGTGGCAAACATAACTTGATGATACTTTGATGTTTTGTTCTACAATGCAAATTACACTCCCATATCAAGCACGCAAATTTTGAACCAGTTATGTTTATTTTTGAAAATGTATGTTTCTAATAAGAAATTAGATAAGACAGCTTGGGATGTCAGCGTGTGCAGTTTATGTTGTAGAACAAAACATCCAAGAATCATCAAGTTAACCTACTTCCTTACTTTTTGGGGGGGGGGCGTGAATGTATATTTACAGGGATTCTGGAGTGGATCTTGGGGAAGAGAGACGGCATGTGGATGAGGTTTTTGACTCGTTCTGTGTTGGAGAATGCAACTAGGTTGGCTACAGATAAATATATTAATATATGCATTACAATGCTTTACAAATGTAATTTTAATAAATTTATGTATTACTTCAAATACACATTCTGGTGCATTGTTTTCTGAAATAATTGTAACTGCAATCTTACTTTTGTAATCGAGTATAAAGCATTATTATGCATTTAGAATCACTTTATAATTTTATAAGTTTTACCCACACGAGCACTGTAGTTGTACAATAACTAAATTAATCCTCAAAAATACAACTTGCCTAATAATTGTGCACACAGTGTACAGTCAAAAATTTGTACTTATGATTTTTTTAAATGTTTTTGAAAGGAGTCTCTTATGCTCACCAACGCTGCATTTATTTGATGAAAAATACAGTAAAACAGTAAGCAGCAAAAACATTGATAAGAACCATAATTAATAATTGAGCACCAAATCAGCATATTAGAATGATTTCTGAAGACTGGGGTAATGGCTGTTGAAATTTCAGCTTTGCATAATAGTTTTAAAATATAGTAAAATAGAAAATAGTTATTTTAAATTTTAATCATAATTCACAATATTACTGTTGATGAGAATGAGACTTCTTTAAAAAAAAAAACGTCATTTGACCAGTGATTTATATTTTTTGTTATGCTTATTACTTTATTTATTGATAAATGAAATATGAAACAAAAGAATCAGACGGATGACTTTTTAACTTATAAAGATGATGATAATTTGGATGCTGTGTTCTTTTAGCTATGAAAGTGCCAAGGCTCTGTTGTCTGACACGAAGCTGCTGGCTCCAGCGTACTTCATCCTCGGAGGAAACCAGCCGGGTCAAGCCTGTATTATCACCAGATCCAGAACACACAGCATCAATCCACTGGAGTGAGAGAGCATTGCTATTCTCTACACATAGTTAAAAGAACACGTGTGAGTTTGAAGTTGTCAGTATTTCAGTTTAACATTACACTTTGTGTGTTTTTCAGGCTTGATGTGAAGAATGGCAGGTGGTATGTGTTGGAGACTAACTATGACCACTGGAAAGAGCCTCTGTTTCTGGATGACCGCAGAACTCCTGCTATGAAATGCATGAATCAGACCACACAGGCTGTGAGTGTGGACAATGCAAACATAGACCTAAACTGGTATTAAAAAAATATTCTAACTTAAAAAATGTTTTTTTATCCTTTCAGGATATCTCCATAAAGACAGTATATGATGTGCTGTCCACCAAACCAGTCTTAAATAAAGTAAGCTCATCATCTTTTACAGTGTTTCATATTTCATTTTCTGGCTTGTTTAACACTTATCTTTATGGTGCTGTACAGTTGACCACATACACTACTCTTATGGAGGTGTTTAAGGGAACATTGGAGTCTTATATCCGTGACTGTCCTAACCCCTGCATGCCGTGGTGAGGGACTCCATCTGGACAAGCTGCATTACTGTGACAGTCTTCTGTACGTTTAGGAAAAGAAAAATGTCATTCATATTTTAGCCGTTTAAAATTGTTAATCTTACATTTTAAAAGGTTTGCAGTGTCTGCTTTTGAAATCATGTGGGCATTGTTGGGTTTAATCAAGCTTAACCTGTCAAACGGGTACAGTAGGGCAGCCTACTTAAAGGGATAGTTCACCCAAAAATGAAAATTTGATGTTTATCTGCTTACCCCCAGGGCATCCAAGATGTAGGTGACTTTGTTTCTTCAGTAGAACACAAACAGATTTTTAACTCAAACCGTTGCAGTCTGTCAGTCAAATAATAGAAGTGAATGGGAATCATGGCTTTGAGAGTCAAAAAAACAAACAAAACCAAAGTAAACCCTGCAGCTCGTGACGATACATTGATGTGTAAAGACACAAAACGATCGGTCTGTACAAGAAACTGAGCAGTATTTATATCGTTTTTTACCTCTGATTCACAGCAATGTCCAAACTGTCCTGAGCACGTTCGCGTCTTCTTCTTCAGCCAGTGCGTGACGTGTCTTCTTCTTCTTGCTTTACGGCGGATCGCAGACTTATAAGTGCATTACCGCCACCTCTCTCTCAAATGGACCATTGACACTCCTAATTGAGATTGTAGATTGAGTGTCAATGGTCCATTTGAGAGATAGGTGGCGGTAATGCAATGTTCTACTGAAGAAACAAAGTCACCTACATCTTGGATGCCCTGGGGGTAAGCAGATAAACATCAAATTTTCATTTTTGGGTGAACTATCCCTTTAACACTTGTCTAAAGATGCATGTAATGGAAACAAAATTAACTGCACTGAGAATTGATAGTATGACAGATTGTACAAAATATTTTTTTCAGCCAAATTTTTGTGAATGTTGACTGACATTTTTGTGTGTTTTTTGTAACCACATACTAGAATACAGAAATGTTCACAGTGGAACAACTTGATAATCAACTCTGTTAACTAACAAATGCATTAGGGGAAAATGATCAACCAAAAGAAACAAATGTACATAAGTTGTACACTTAAGCAGAAGACAAATTTACACAACTAACATCACTAAATCATGGAGATACAGTACTTGTTGTGGAAATAAATAATGCACTGAATCAGTGAACATTTTGCAAAATAAACACTTACCAAAGCAGGTTTTGTGCAAATGGGATAAATAGAGCAATCACTACAGGAAATGGTAAAAATCTACGTTTTATTTATTTTAAATCTGTCTAAACATCAGAGAATTACAGGAGGTGAAATGGGGTGAGAACCCAAGCATTGGCCAACATGCCTTTAAAAAAAAAGTGAAATTGAAAGCAAGAGAAAACATTTAAAAGACTGCAATAAGAGAAGACAGGACAACGTATCAGTGCTAATATGCGATTCTGCTCTATCCATTACACATTTCACTGTGCAATCTGGGACGTGTCAAATACATTTAAATAGGGATATTGTTTTTCCAAATGTGCTTAAGTTTTGTCCTGAATCAGAGGAACAAACATCTATTGTCCTTTATGTACTGCATTGGCAAAAAAAATGCTAGCGGTCTCGGAAGGAATCCTAGAAAGAAATGCATAAACAAAAGCCAAACCATGCCAAACATAGGAACACAAAAATGTTTTGCATCCCTTAAACCGAAGCCTTTGAAGGAGCTTTTACAGAGATTTCTGGCTGAACAAAGAAACACAGAAAATGTACTTACAGTCTACAGAACAGCTTAAAGACAGCCCCTACAAAACATCATCTCCTACATTCCCCATAAAACAATCAGAATAAAAGTACTTACAAGTGTAGAGAGATCTCTTGAACTGTTAGATCACATGCTGACAGGCTAATTCACCAAGACTTAGCTTAACTGTTGTTTTCAAGAATCTTAAGTTATTAAGCTCATTATACAGTAATGTTGCATGAATGATGGTTTGCAGTGTAAGACGGATCAAAAGATCATTCTCATGCACTCTGGGCTCCAGTGGTTTCTGGGGGGGGAAAAAACATATTGTTAATCCATCATAGGGATCTGCTGATATGCAAATCATTGTAATTCAGCTCTGAATTTCAATATCCAATACATTAAAAAAACAATACATGAATTCGTAAATCAACACACACAAAACAAGTTTTGTTCTGTTGAACAAAAATTGTCACCTTATTCTAATTTTACATTTTGAAAATTAAAATGAAGTCTGAACAGATAGCATATGGTTTGAGTGACATTTAATAGTTACCCGGCTCTTTGAGTGCTTGAGCATTTCCCACCAATCCTGTAAGCTCATCTTTATTTTCATTGAGAATTTCAGCTGTCAAGTTAATATTTTGCTGCTTTTCTGAGATCCTCTTACAAAGCTCTTCCTGTGCAAATTACAAGCAGAATTTTTTTTAAAAGCAGCATTCTTTGGAGATGTCTTGTACAGTTTATAAACTAATATGCAAACATGACTACTAGATCACTCAAGCTTTTACCTCACACAGAACAGACATTTGAAGAGGAAGGTCCTCCACTTTCACAAAATCTTCCTCATCTGATCTCTGGCTTGTATTTCCAGATCCTGCCTCCTATATTATAAAAAATCGAACATAATACCTTTTTTAAAAATCAGAGAAAAATAATTTGGTCATTCTAAATAAACGAATCAAAGATGTTTGATGAGAAAAGATGATCTAGGGTTTGCAGTGAGAGTGAGACATACATCAGTGTTGATCATGACCAGAGACTCCGTGTCGGGACTGGCTGTATCTGAGCTCTGTGGTGTTTCCTGGGCTGGTGAAACAGTACAGTCCTCATTGTCTCTTTCATCTCCTGAACCAGTTTTTGCCTCCTCTCTGCCCTCCTCTGGAGGCTGAACCAAGTCTTTGAACTCAGATTTTATGCTTTTCACTGTTTGAAAATGCGAGACAAAATGCAGTGAGTTGAGTGTAAAAACCCCAATAAATGTTAAGGGTATAATAAAGAAAAAAGGCATACATTGGCTGCTTTCTGAGTTTTCTAGGTCTGATTTGGTTTCCTGGAGGGCTTCGTTTCGTAAGGCAGAGCCCTGGAACAACACAACAGGTCATTATTAGTGTTTGTCATTTGAGCAGAGTCAGATTATTTGCCCTCTCGTATGAACGCCAACACACCTGTCTGTGTTCACTAGTGTTGTCCATGCTGGCTTGTAATGATGTTTGCACCTCAACAGGTCCAGCTTCAAACTCCTCCATCTCCTCCACTTCATTTTCATCTTCTCCACTGCCGTAGTTGCATAGAGCCTGTGTCTCTGCTTTAGATAGGCCTAAAAAAAAGACCATACACACAACACACAAGTCGAACAGATTCTTATCAAAGTCAAATACATTACAGAACAGTCTCAACCTGTAGACAATAAGACAGACAACCTCCAGCAAACACTCTTAACGGGTACTGTTGAACAGTCAGAACAGTAAACACACAATGCACCATAGATGGCGTTTTAGTGACACCAATTAAAAGGAAGAACATGTAATCACTTGAAATATTACATTTTTACATTTGGATTTATTCAGCAAGGAAACATAAAAATGATTAGAAGTCAAAAGACTTTCTAAAAGACCATAGTGATACTGAAGACTGGAGTAACAGCCACCAAACGAATAAAATCCATTTTGAAATGTAAAAAAAAAAACGGGAAATTTATTTTAAATTGTAATAATATTTCACAGTATTGCTTTTTTGTGTATTTAAATAAATCCAGCCATGGTAAGCATAAGCGACTTCTTTCAAAAACCTTAAAAAAAAAAACCAGAACCATTTTTTAAAAACAGTACTGTATATTTATTTCCAAAGCCAAGCTAATTTTTTTCAGTTTATTTTACTGTCTGTTTGTTTCAGATAAACTCACTTATAGAAAGAGGCAGCCCTTCTCCCTCCTCTTCTTCCACCTCAGATGCTTCACTGCTCTGTGCATCTTTCTCCTTGTCCTCTTCCTTCTCATGAAGCGTCCCTCCCTGCTCAGTCTCATCCTGATCCTAAAGATAAAAAAAAGTAAATTTTCAACATTCAAAACATTTAAGCTCGCAATAACAAAAAACAACAAAAAAAAAAACCAATAGTTGAACAACAGCTGCTCTGTTTGTTGTGTGAAATCAGTGAAGACTCGGGCTTTATATTCAGAAGCAGTGTAGCTGCTTAGTGTATTTATGTGAATGCTGCAAGTGTATCAACAACTATAACTTACTCTGTCTTCATCAAAATATGATGGGGAGAATGTCTTTTCTCTCTCTAGTGTTTTAGCCTCCTAAATAAAAAAAAATGCAATAATCATTCTCCTCACAAACACAGAAGCATCATTACAGGCACACATGACGAAGATTAATCACTCAAGCCTACCTCGGTGTGAGGTGAGTGTTTTGGAGATGTGTGGTCAGAGCGTCTTTTGGTTCTGTGTTTGTTTTCAGAGGTGTTCTGATCTAAATCCTGCATCAGTCTGAAGAAAGCAAGCTCATTAAAGAGGATCTCCGAGATCTCCACCAGCAGGTCCTCACCGCAGTCCTGCAGCATCCCCCCAACAAACTTACTCAAGGAGTCCTGTGCACAAAACCAAGAACTTGTAGGCTGCGATCGAACTAGTGGCCTTCCTACATAGACTACATTTTAGGGCATCACATGCTCAAATATTCGAGCACATTATGATTCTCAAAACTAATTAATCGACTTAATTAGTAACTAACTAATCTAAAAAAAAAGATCAAATAATTATTGAAGAAAACAGTCAGTAAACTAAAAAAAATTTGAAATAAACAAAAGAATAGAAGAAGCTAATTACATTAGGACAAACAAATTAAAACATTATAAATGCACTTACCTGCAGGATGCCGCCCAGCTGTCGGTGGAAGAACTGAACAAACTCTTTGCTTTCATCATTTTTCTGAGTGAGTTTGAGCACCATGCGTCTCACAGATCTGAGCAGCTGGTGTGAACACACCTCCCCAACATGCTCCTGGCAGAAAGACATTAGCAAGACAGCATGTCTACAAACTGCAGTTTTGACGGTTGATTTATTTTTAAATTTAAAGAGAAAAGTAAAGCAAGCTCACCTTTAGGAAAGGAATAACTTCTGTCATGATGGCTTTAATCTGTCTGTCAAGCTGTTGTGTGTCAATCTGAGGACAATGTGCATCTGTAGACGAATGTCCAGCACCTAAAATCAGACAATGAGACAAACACAGAAAATTCATTAAAACACAAGTAGATCTACTTAAAGGGGTATAAAACCCAAGCATTCATTATATGTATGTTTAAAGCAAGCAGAGCTTTAGCCAGTGCTAATTATAAACATTCCACCCCCATAATCCTTAATAGCAAACTCAGAAAACCTAATGAATGGGAAATTGATCAAAATGTCCTTCTCAAGTAGGACTTCTTTTCTAGGTATAACATCAAAGACCATCTTTTCTAGGAAGTTGCAGCCTGTGAAAATCAAGACTCTGCCACAAGAGTGATACACAGTCATTAGATTGTAAAAAGCCTGGATTATTCCTTCTAGAAAGAGAATCACTGACCGTGATTATCTGTGCAGTGACAATAGAAGCCAATGTCAATCATAAGATGCAGCAATGCAATAAGGTGTCAAGCGATAAAAGTCTATAACCAGTCATTTGCTAGCTGTTTGGTTTCTATTTCTATGCTGCCATGTTGAAAATCTCCTTGTATGGAAACTTGTTGCATTCAGGGGCGCAGAAATGGAGTATGCAGTATATGCAGCACATGGGCACATTTAGCTAAAATCATTCTGTGAAAATCTTCTTTAATAAAATATTATAAATAATCAAAGGCTTATTTGTCAAAAATAATGAAAAGAAACATTTTTACTGAACTTTAAATGAGTTCAAAATGTATTTTATCAAATGAGTACATATCAACCTTCGACATGACTGTCATAGACAGTCACATGACTGAAATGAATAGAGGAGGGAAAGGGGCTCAAAACAGAAAAAGACAAAGGGAAATAGAACAATGCATTAAAATAAAGTGAACAAACAGAGATTAATAAGCTTAACCTATAACCATACCTTTTGCCGAAAATTGCCATTTTGAATTAAAATAGGTAAAATAAAAAATATTTTTTTGTTGGGGCAACACTGATCTTGCATACCCCTCAGGAAAATGTGCAGTTGCGCCCCTGGTTGCATTGCATCTGGTAGGGACACAGTTAGAAGCTCTTGCAACTGAATGCTGGGTCTACTCTGCAGTCTAAGAGTGTTCACAGCAGTACCTTGAGTGAGTGCTGAGGCGGCAGCAGCAGCAGCAGCAGCAGCTCCAGGGCTGTGCTCAGGGTTATCTGTGTTACACTCAGCCCTCAGCTTCATGCGCTCATACTCCCTCATTCTGGCCAATGCCTTATCTAAATGAATTACTGTGTTACCTGGAGGAGCAGGAAGGAAATAAATGGAGAGAGAGAAACATAACAGTATTCAGACCAGCACAGCCCCAGCCCAGCAAAGCGAGCATGATTGCGGTAGCGTGATGCATACAGCTTCTTACCCGGGTCATCACTTGCAAAGGGTTCAAGGTTGGAAGAGGTGGACAGCAGGCTCTCGTTGTCCATCGAGTCTCTATCTGCTACCCTCTTCAATACAGAGTTGGATTTAACTGTTACAATCTTCTCAGATGCATCCTGGAAACATCAGCAAAAAATTAGCTTGTGTTATAATTAAAGAGAGAGAGAAAAAAACAAAAACAAATGAGGAAGCAAATGTCTCACATTGTCACTGGTAGCCAAGCTCTCACTAGGTGTGAGCTCTGACTGGGAGCCTGTGGCCCATACGGCCGGACCCAAAGATGATGCCTGCTCATCTGCCACACTCTTCTCTGTCAGGTGCCTCGTTACAATGTCCTGGCGGTCAGAGCCAACAATGAAATATGGTTATTACTTTAAAAACAGAGGCAGTCCTCACAAAAGAAAACCTTACAAATACAAAATTATATTGATCTGTTGATACAGTAGTAAAAGTAGCCCCTTGGTATTAAAGCCAGGGGCTGTGAAGAAGATATGCTTAATGAAAACGTAAGTTTTTACAATTTCAGCTATTAACTATACAGACTCTTTTATACTGGGGCTCTGTAAAAGGTATTAAAGAGGTCATAAATGTTAGAAATCAACAAAATTATAAAAATGCAAAAAAAAAAAGGGGGAAAAAAATATATAATAGTAATAAATTGTTAATATATATAAAAAAAAAAAATATGTGTATGTGTATATTAGTAAAAACACTGTGTGTGTGTGTGTGTGTGTGTGTGTGTGGGTGTAAACATTCCATGCCACCTGCATATTTGTACATTTTGCTAATTTGATCATTCTTTTAACCTTCTCAGGTCTGGGCAACACATTTTTTCCATTTAAGTCCATTTTGTAGATTTTCTCCATAATGAATGCAGAAATCGTGGAAAACCATCCAGTCTCTACATGGGCCTGTTGTGTCAGTAGAAGTGTGCACAGTTTTAATTGTTGTGTACTGTACCTGTAGTGAGTAGAGTGCCCTCTGGCGCAGGTAGTCTGTATTGAGCAGCTGAAGCTCATGGAAAAGCTCGATGAGGAAGTGAGGGCGAGACTCATTCTGAGAGATCAGAGTTGCCACCTCAGAGTAGATTGTCTCTCTCAGGGCCTCAAACAGAGAGAAATCACTGCTCACGTCTAGAGAGGAGAATACACACAGAACAAAATGAAAAATGAACAGACAATCTACTGTAACTCTTCAAGCATGTCGAGAGTAGATCAAACAGCTGCTGTATGTCCAAACTAATTATACAAAATAAACCTACTGGAAGACATGTTTTACATAGCAAGACCTTGAGTACTGAACGGCACACAATGTCCAAAAACACTGCTCACTTTACAATTAAGAAAATTGAAGAGATGTTTTTGTGTGTAAAACCACACTCAGATGCATAGTTCTGTGACTTCAACTCAAAGGCAAAGGTATAAAATATCCGTAACAAAAAGACAATGGGTGTGAATGGTGTTAACAATAACACAGCAGATGTCCTCCCCTTTTTCTCCCCCAATTTCCCAATGTTCTGAAATAACGATACTGGACAATAGAAATAAACTTTATAAAACTCAGTGGAGTTGTTTCTATATTTATATTAGTTCTTAGTACTTCCTATGCATGTGGATGCAGTTTTAAAAAAATGGAGAGGAGAAAGGAGACAAAGAAAACATGCAGATAAAAAAGAAAACGTTAACAAGTAGTTAGCGGGTCAAACAGCTGGTGAGCTTGGAGTTACCTGGGACTTCAGTGCATGCAATTCTGTTAGAGAGAAAAGGTGTTCTCCAAGCATATGCTGTGAAGAAACCAAAAACAAAACCCAAAATGAAATGTGAACAAAAACAGAATTTAAAAAAAATGAAATTGGTGAGGGCATGGAGACATAAGAGATTTAAATGATGTTCAAATTAAATAAGAACAGAAGAAAGTCAGTTTTCTTGCTATAATGTTGTAGCAGATGCTTCTCTGGTTGAAGAACATAATGGACACTGTATAACAAGACTGTTCTCATTGTTCTTCATGTTGATATGTTTAGTTGTATCCAGTGTTATCTGTAGCAGAACCTATGAAAAGGCATACCAGATGAAAGGTCATTTGACTTGCTGTTCTTAGCCTTGCTGTCCAGTTTCTCCTGGGTGAGTTTGTCTAGCAGACCCTGGTTGAGATCTTTGTATTTGACCTGAGAGGAGCGCTCTCTGTCCTGATCAAAGTGAGAGTCACTTGAAACACTGTCACTGTCCAGAGATGCTGAAAGTGAGAAGAACAAAACTGAGTTGTGGGACTTAAACTCTAAGGCTTCTTTTGCCTAAATAATAAATAAATAAAACTTTCCATAAACCCAATTAATGTGACTGGCTTTTTTAATGTGTTATTAAGCTGTAGTATGTTAACTTTAAATATACACACCTGTGTTCTTCCGTCCCCTGCCTCTCCTGCGGCGGCTCTTTGTGTTGGGGGTCTTGTCCCTAGAGGCCAGGCTGGCCTGTGCTGCAGCCTTGCGCCCTGCTCTGAAGGTCTTGGTGACAGTGGTTGGATCTGCCCTATCTGGAAGGCTGCTCACTGACTCCTGGGAGTCAGGTATGTAAGAAAGATCCCGGGTAGTGCAAGGATGAGGGATAGGAGAGGAGGAAGGAGAGTTCTGACTTGGATGGTCTGAGGTGAGGGTGGTTCTCTGACCAGAGCGATTCAGAGAGGAGTTTAACCAGCTAGAGTTACTAGCGTTGGCCACAGTATCAGGCTGAGATTGAAACCTATAAAGGGAGGGAAATAAATTACATTAGGCAAGTTTTTGTTCCTTTTTGTAATAGGAAATTCTTGCATTTTCACCTGACTGTGTTTAAACTAATCATGATTATATCACCTTAATACAAAATACAGAAAAAAACATTTGTACCGTTTCTCTGCGTTGTTGAGTGGAGATCTCTGCAGTGGAGGGGGGAAACTCATGTATTCTGTTTTGAGGGATATGTTTGGATCGTGCTGTTGATCTAAACCGGCCTGGTTCTGCTGGAAATCTCCTGCTGAGGAGGGAAACATGGGACTGAAATTAAAGCCTAAAGGCAGAAAAGAAGAGAGAAAGAAAAAAGGTTAGAAGTTAATTCAAATTGTTGTTTTTTTTTAATTAGGTAATTTCACTAATTTAATGAGTCACAGACAGATAATAGACTTGCCAGTTGGGAAAGGAGAGAAGTTTGGGAGTCCAGACATACTGAGTGTATTGACAGGTGGGTAGTTTACGAATAGAGATGATGATGCAGAATCACACGCAACATTTTGATTGTGCTGTTGTCCTGACAATGACTGATTCTGCTGCTGCCGCAACAGATCATTCAGAACCTGTTTCAACCTGCCAAAAAAAAAAAAAAGTTAAACGTTATAACAAATGAAAACATACCTGCACTACCATTCAAAAATTTGGGGTCGGTAATAAATAAATACATTCTCAAAAGAGACAATGACATTTATAATTTAATTTCAAATAAATTGTTCTTTATATTATATTTTTAAACATATTAAAATAGAAAATAGTTATTTATTACTGTTTCTACTGTTTTTTTTTATTAAAGGGGTGGTTCACTGTTTTTATTCTAGGCTTGATTGTGTTTATGGGGTGCAGTCTAACATGTGTTAATGCTTAGTTTTTTAAAAAACGCATTATTTTTCACATAATTTACCTTTATTCCACAACGCTCTGTCCCTTCTCTAAGAAACGTGCTGATCATTTCCTTCTTTTATGAAGCCCCTCCCTCAGAAATAGGCGATGGGTTCTGATTGGTTAGCTAGCCCAGTGTGTTGTGATTGGCCCAACCGTCTCTAGTGCGCATCTAAACGTACCGCCCCTCACCTCAGCGGCATGTGTGGTCCGGTTGTATTGTCAACAACGGCGTCGTTAATATCGCTTATCAGTTTGAGCCCGATTGAGAAGCAGAGGATATTATTGAAGAGGATCGTGTAGAACCTGTGCAAGCACGGCTTTTAATGGTAGGCCTATGTTTTTTGTTTGTTGTTGTCTCATACTTTTAGATGCTACTGCTACTGCTTATGGTAGCTTTTAATATACAGTTTTATCCTGATTAAAGCTTTAATACAGTACGGCAACTGCACGC